AATATAATTCATTAGGGGATTGTTTGAAATCGTTTTGATTTATGAGTTTGCTGTTCCCATGAGAAAAAGGAAACTGCAATGAGTAGAATAAAATTAAAGAGCAATGAGAAAAGGATAAGAAAGTAATTTAGTACAGACACATGACTTAAACATCCACTTTAAATGGTGAGCCAGGAATGTGCTCATCACCCCATTTGACCAGCACAATGTAATCTCCCCTTTCACGGACAACATAGTTAACTTGGTAATTGTTGCGACCCATGTGTTTAATGAAACATTCATCACATGGACCTTTGGGACCATACATGCCTACATAGAGGATGTTGTTGCCTGAAATAGGATAAGGAAATGTGAAAATAACATCCTATTTTGATAAGAAATAGATTTCAAGAAATTCAAATAACTTACCCGCATCTCCAGCATGAACTGTGAATTGATTCTGTTTCTGAAGATATGCCTTCTTTAGACCCATTCCTTTGCAAGTAACTTTAGAAGCATCTGACTTGAAGTGTGGCAGAACTGGGCCTTGTGTCCTATTCTTTGAAACTTTGTGTACAGTTTCCACAACTACCGATGATGATTCCTGAGCTCCCCTCTCCGCCAGATCATCACCTAGAGCCAAAATTTAAGGTGTTACCGTCCAAATAAATGATGGAATGCCCAATACCTCAATGTGGCACGTACCTGTGCAGGTGACTTTGAAGGGAGATCCCACAATATGATAGCTGTTGTATTTGACGCTCATATAATAATCTCCAGGCACCAAGGGGGTGTACCGAACTTTGTAGCCCTCCTCCACTTCTGTGCAGTCCATGGACACCTTTGAGGGGCCATCAATGGTCACCGCCAAAGTACCGGCCCCGGCCGAGCAGGTATCGACTATGAAATCCGTCTTGTGGCCTGAGACAAGAAGAAACCAAGCAGACAAGTTAGAAACGAATTAGTGCGGATCGTGCAAAGGCCGCGTCACGCCGAGCCACTCACCTGTCTTGACCTCGCCTAGGCCGTTGCCGTGAGCGTGCACCGCGGCAGGGTCGGCGTCCTCCTTGCCCACCTTGATGCGGAAGGGTGAGCCCGGAATGTGCACCCCGTTAAACTTGGTGTGAATCGAGTTGACGCCATTCTCTCGGGGCATGAAGCGCACCGAGTACGTCTCAGAGTCGATCAGCTGGATGAAGCAATCGTCCTCGGAGCCGCCAGGAGATACAATCTGCAGAGCGATAGAAGCGGGAGAGTTAAGACAAGTCGAAGGCACGCCCTTCATGCCTTCATGTGCGCGGGTTCCCGCCTGGTGGGGAGGCACGCCCGTCGTGCGCGCACGTTCGGCGGGCTGGCCTGCCCCGCCCCCTGCGCGCCTGGTGGGGGAGGCACGCCCGTCGTGCGCGCACGCTCGGCGGGCTGGCCTATCCCGTCGCCTGCGCGCCTGGTGGGGGAGGCACGC